CTTGTTTTCACTTTCGTTTATTTCGTTTTTGGATGAGGTATTTTCTTCTGGTTGTAATTGTTCCTTAGTAGGTTCAAGGATATCTAATTCTACTTCTTTATTATCAAGTCTTTTTCTTCCGTGGGATCTGTCATCTTCAGTCATTTCGGTATTGTCCCTTGAGTTGTTTGGGAATTCATTGATAAATTTTACATTTGTGCTTGTTATAACTTTTTTAGTCTTTGTGTTCCATAGACGATATGTTTTTGTTTCACTAGAATAGCCTATAAATATGCATTTGGTAGATTTCTCATGGAATTTTCCTTTTCCTGGTTTCTTTTCTAATGCAAATGCCATCTGACCGAATGTCCTAAAATATTTGATTGTTGGCATGTCTACCAGTCTATAATTTCAAGGGTATGTCGCCTTCCAGGCTCTTTGATGGACATCTGTTTCTAATATATGATGCAGTATATACAGCCTCTGCCCAAAAGTATTTTCTTAATCCTACCTGGAGTAGCATGCATCTTCCCATTTCCACTAGTCTTCTATTTCTTCTCTCTGCGATGCCATTTTGTTGTGGTGTGTAACATGCTATTTTCTCATGCCTAATTCCTTTATGTTTCAGGAAGTTCTGAAATTCTCTATTAGTATACTCAGTTCCGTTGTCACTTCTTATTGCCTTTATCTTCCTTCCTGTTTTATTTTCTACAAAGGCTAAGTATGTTTTGAATTTCTCAAAAGCTTCACTTTTGTTTCTCATGAAATATATTTCATACCATCTAGAATAATCATCAATAAATGTGATGAAATATTTCAGTCCACTCAATAATGAGGTTTTCATTGGTCCACAAATGTTGGTATGAATTAGTTTTAATATTTATCTGCATGTCTTTTCGTTTTGCTTTGGAAATGGTGATCTGGTTTGTTTCCCTCTTATGCAGATCTCACAGGGGTCAAGTTCTTCTTTTCATCCTATATTTAGTCCTTTGACATTTAGGTTGTTGGTCATGTGTCATATGTCCCTTTTGTTTAAGTGACCTAAACATTCATGCTACATTTTCATTTTGTTAACATTTGTTCGAGAGAGTTTAGATTCCTCCCACCTTTCTTTCACATAGTATAGCCCACCTTCTTTAAATGCTTGCATGTGTACACTTTTGTTTTTCAGATCCATGATAGTTGCCTGATTCTTTTGGAATAGTCTGAATAGAACACTGAATCCATGATCAGTTATCATCTCAACTGACAGTAGGGTGGTCCTTAGTTCTAGTACAAAGAGTGTGTTCTCCAATTTGGCTTGAAATCCTTCCTTTGTTTCAATTATTACATCACCAATCCCTTTGATTTCCATTGTAGATGAGTTGGCCAAGTTTAATTCACTTGTGTGGGATGTTTCAATGTTAGAAAATCTTGCTTTATCATTGCACATGTGTGATGAAGCACCTGAGTCTAGACACCATTTAAGATTTTCTTTTCCTTTATTTACCATAATAATAGCATTATATGACTCCTGTTTTTGTGTCGTTAGGCTTGTAGTTGCAGCTCTTGCTGGTTTTCGCTTGTTTCTGTCTCAGTATTCTCTCGCCTTATGGCCTATCTTGCAGCAGTTATGGTATTTGAATTTGAATGCTCCCTTATTTTCTGATTGTTTCGTCCATTGTTTGCTTATATACAGCACACCCAAATTCATTGAATCATCTGTATCGTCATTTCGTTTTCATTCCCCATACTCTTCTGTTAGCTTTATTTTGAGTGTGTCTGGTGAAAGAAGTTTTTCTTGTGTTTCAATAGCAATTTGAAATTGTTCAAATGAGTCAGGTAGCATATAGCACTATATAGCAGTTGTACTGTTAATACAGTAGAGCATCGATTTTCCGAAAGTCAATCATCCGAAAAAGAATTCCAGTCTGCAAATTTAAATTTTTGCCTGTGCTGTGGCACTTCAATCTTTGGCTATGTCTTGGGCTACTCAAATATTTTACGTTTTTGATACTAAATTAACATCTGAAGTATAATTTTTTATTGTTTTTATATTTTTCAATATATTTATTTTGTTTGTACAAAATAAAGAAATAATTTTTAATGATACAATAGTCTTTGTTAGGCTTAACATCAACGAAAATTCAACGCAAAGCGACACGCAACAGATATAAAATTTCGACATCGGATATGTTAAACTATTTTTTCGTACATAAATCAGTTATCCGAAATATCAGTTATACGAACAATCTCAGTCCCCAATTGATTCGGAAAATCAACGCTCTACTATAGTTCTTTGTTTATGGAGATTTCCATTTCTTTTAACATATCTACTATATTGAAAAAGTCTCTTACGTGATCTGCCATGTTGTTTCCTTTCCTCATTTTCTTGAGAATTAATTTCTTTAGTAGCATAGTCTTTCTTGCAGGACCTTTCGATTGAAAATTTCATATAGCTTATTCCATATTTCATGTGAGGTTTCACATCCTTTTGTCTGTTTTAATTCTGCTGGGCTTATGGCGAGAATTATATCACACATTGCCTTCAAGTCGGCTGTGTCCCATTGTTCTGCCGCCTTCATTATACTTTCATCTTCAAGTATAATTTCTGGTTTCTTTCTTTTTCCGCTGACATATTCCCACAAATCGTTTTTGATCAGGAGTGCCTTCATCTGTGTCTTTCATGTATCAAAGTTTTCTTTACACAGTGGTTCTATTCATATAGCTAGTTGACCGGCCATTTTTCTTTTGTAGGTTTCGTAATTCTATTTCCGACCAGTGGCCAAGTGATCTTTGTTCCCTGAACACTGGGAGGTTGGTCGTGGGTTTGCGCCTCGCTCGAACGGGCTGGCCATGTGGAGTTTTCTGGGTTTTCTCCACGTCTGTAATGCCTAAATGTGGGCCAATTTCCCTTAAAAAGACCTCCCGGAAGGCATCCCCCTAGGCAGATTGCCCAAGTATTGCATTGCCATTACTAAACAAACCAACCAAACTAATTCTATTTCCTTTTAATTCCTGTGATTCTAGTCTTCAATACTTAATTTTCCATTCCCGGGTTATAACTGTTGTTAAACAATGATGAGGCAGTCCTTTAACTTAGAATTAAACTTTATTCTAATCTAAGACTATACATGCATTTGTTCACACATCCATAACTTGGTGTGCAACTGAACAACAGGTTTCTTCTTGTTTCAAGTGGTGTTGCACGGGTATTGTCAGTTCATACACAGTTTGCGATATCAACACTTGCTTTAGTTTAGTATTACCTAAAATAATATCTCAATTATATAGTTTGACAGAAATACATTTTCTATCAAACTATACAAAGTATTTCTGTGTATCTAATATATAATCGAGATGGGTTGATAATAATAATAAGCGCAGAGCCCAAATGGTTAGGAGTTGAAAGTTGAAATTTGGTACACAGTTAGGGTATGTCACAAGAACGCACACTAAGAAGGAATTTTTCGAAATTCCCCGGGGGAGAAAGACAGGATTAAGGCTTAACACTTCCATCAATAATGGAAGTTTTAAGTAACAATGGAAGTGTTACGTAACAATGGAATTGTTAAGAGAAAGCGACGTGCAAGATTTACAGGCACAGATGCAGTTTTTTCGTTTTTGCGGGAAATCAAACATATTTTTAGAACCATCTAAAAATTCTCTAATTAGTCTGGAAACAAGGGGACCCAATTCTTGCATTCTATGAAAACGGGTAAGGTTGACTGTAATGTAATAATCTTTATCTTAGTTATTGTTACTTTTGCCCGAGCAATGCCGGGCCCACCTGCTAGTATATATATAAATACAGTTGAAATTATCCATTTTTAAGTTTTAACATTAAGTGTTTCTAGTAATGTTTGGCAATATTTTAAGCTAGAAACACTCTTTTATACACTCCTCTTAATTTATAGAACAAGATGCATTCAAAAAAAGAAAAATTTAATTTTTTAACTTAAGGTTCCTTTTTATAGACTACATAATTTTTCTTCAAAACTGAAAAAAGTGAGGAATTATATAATAGTAGTCCTAACAGAGAACTTTTACAAATGTTAGATTGATGAGAAAATTTATGCAAATTTTATTTAATTATGTTTTGCAAAAGAAACAAATAGACAATATTATAAGCATAAGTATATTTTTTCTTTTATAATTATTTTAATTATAACTTTAAAATTTGCAGCTTACTATTTGGATTTCAAATGTTCCTAAGTCATATTCATATAATTAGTTCTGAAAGATGTATATATAATTAAAATGCTCAACCATATAATATTTATTATTATACTTATTAAAATAATTTTAACAGATAATGTAAGATGGCCGATCCGGGGGAGATAGGGGGCTTGAAACCCACTTCACGGCACCTGTGTAAGGTTGCCGTCTCCTAGGTGGGATCTATTAATCCCGCGTCAGGATGGACCTAAGGGAAGGTTGTATGTGGGCGGTGACGGAGGAGGCAAATGACGACAAGTGTTTTACACAAGAAAGCCGTTTATTTGTTAACATATATGCTTACATCGGCAATCGACAGTCCTTCACTAGATTCTTCCCTCGAAGATGCGGAGTGTGAGAACTTCGGCGTCGGTCGTAGCCCCGGGGCGGACGAGATGCTGTTGCTGATCACGGCGGACGATCGGAAGATATAAGCGGCGGAGTCCACAGTTCCTTTGCGACGACACACCACAATAGAAGTCACTACCTTTCGTGGAGTCGGAGGAGAGCCTCTATCAGTTAGTGTGCTTTCAGAGGAGAAGGTTGTGCTTTTCTCAGCTCCAAAATTTTTCTGTTTTGTGTAGTTAGGCCTGATTTTAGGCTTAGTCTAGCTCTTCCTATACTAAAGTGTAGGAAAATAGGCTTATTTTAGGCTTAGGGCAGCGGTTAGGTTTGGCTCTGCTAAGCCTAACTTTTTAGCTTTGCTTATATAGCTAAGGTTTGTGATTTTCTCGGCAGCCATCTTAGCTTCCCCATGTGCTGTGAACTACAAGAAGAAAACAGAAGACGACTGCCATTTTGTGCTGGGGTGTGAGTATACTTTATCTGTTCTTTTTTGTTGGGGAGACCTGCTATCTAGCAGACTGGTCTTCCCAGCTGGCCGGTTCGCTTTTGGAGGCATTACCAGCCAGCAGTCAGGCAGCTAGCTCTGTGTTGCCACAGGCCAAGTTTGCTTGGCCTCCCCCAACACACAGTGGACCCTTAGTAGGCATCTGACTTGATCAATTCTGGTGTTGCTGTGGGTTCGACACTAGTGCGTCAGGTTTTAACTTTGGATCGGTGATAGTCTGTGTGATGTTTGGACCAGTGCGTCGCGCAACCTACCTGGTTTACGCTCTTGTATTTAGAGCTACTCATCGGGGGACCTTTTGAAATTCTTGGGCACCTTTTCTACACTAGTGTTTTATTGTGCACACTTTACCTGCCTGGTTGGATTTGTTATTTTGCTCCCCTTCTCTACTACTCCAAGATACTATGGAAGCGGAAATATTGGACTCATTCTTGGAGCAAGCTTACAAAATTGCCGACGAAACAAAAGGATTTTGCACTAAAAAATCCTACAAACGTATGAGCACTGCTCAAAACGTCAAATACATTAGTGGCCAAATTGAAAAGATTATTGACCTGGCCGCTGCCACTATTAAAAAGAATTGTTTATCCCCAAGTAAGTGCATGGACTCTGGAGGTGGACAGGAAACTCTCTCACCCCCAACCTCTAACACATCGAGAGGGGACTCGACACCATACCAAAAACTCAACGATATCCTCATTGCAGAAGCTACACCGCCTATGCCTGTCCTGCATCCCCCAAAATCAAGCCCCATTAGGAGTGGAAGACTTGAGGGAATTCATGATAAATTGGAGGATAACTACCAAAAACTGTGCCACATGCTTCAGGATGTGAACACAAAACTTGATAAAATCACCGAGAGCAATAAAAAAATAGAGAACGGCGTAGAGTATATGGTGGACAAGCTAGATCTTGATGCACCCATTACTCAGGTGGATGGCTTGTCAGGGAAACTCGACAGGCTTGTTGAGGAGGGCCCACTAAAAGAAATCCTTGAAAACCAGATTTCTGTTAAAGAAAAAGTGGAGCAGCTCTGTACACAAAACGCCATGGAGATTCCACCACAGAAAACTTATTCTGCTGTACTACAATCTGGAAAAACCATCAACCCTCTAACCAGACCTCAGGTTTTGAATGCTAACCCAGAGGTCTTATTACTTTATGAAAACGGGGAGGTAAGTAATTGTAACAAACTGAGGAAAATTATACATGACAAGATAAAACCATCTCAGCTCAGAATCGGAGTCGATAGAATGAGAAATATTACGGGAGGAGGAGTAGCTATAGAACTAAAGAAACTTGATGATGCCAACAAACTCCAGCAATACATAGAGGAACAAATCCCAGAAATATCTGTTAAAAAGCCAAAAAAACGCCTGCCGCATATCTCAATCTACTCTGTCCCTACTCATGTTAGCAGAGAAAAACTACCTTTTATCATATACAGGCAGAACGACACTCTTAGCACAAACTACTCTGAGGAAGAATTCTGTGATGCTTTTAGAATTAAATTTAGCATGGGAGGAAAAGGAAAGGACTATATTAACTGGGTGATTCAGGTAAAGCCTACCCTGAGGAAGCAGCTTCTCATGCTGGGGAAGGCTTCTATTGAATGGTCAAAGTGCAGGGTTTCAGACTTCTGTCCGGTCCTGCAATGTTTCCACTGCTGCAGGTACGGCCATTCGACGAAATCCTGCAGTCAGCCTACTCCTACTTGCAGTCACTGCTCAGAAGAGCATACTTTTAAACAATGTAATAACAAGGAAAAGCCGGCAGTCTGCTGTAACTACAGGCAAGAAAAGGCGGAAAACACAACACACAACGCACAGGATGGCTCCTGCCAGGTTTACAAGAGGATCAAATCTAACATAATTAAAAGAACAGAATATGGACCAACGCCATAATAACCATTTACGTATTCTGCAATACAACACAGGGAGGAGTATAGCAGCTACCTCTATCATGACAGCTAAAATTAATAACTTTGACCTTATTCTATGTCAGGAGCCCTACTGTATTAGAAACAAGCCAGCTTGCTTACCGAGCACCTGTATCACATTGAGTGGTACCTCAGATTATCCCTGGGCACTCTCCATCACCCCTAACGATGAGCTACCCATGCTACACCATAAAAATGTCAGCACCCAGTTCTTGTCCTGTACCGAGATGAATTTCTACGGAAGCAGATATATTTTCATAAATTTTTACTCCCCGAAGGACAGTGACATTGAGGAAACACTGTCAAGCATCCAGCATAGTATGGATGTCTTCCCTAACGCTTTCTACATCTTGGCGGGGGACACTAATGCTCACTCCCCCACATGGGGAGGAGACCGCCTGGACGGTCGTGGCAGAAAATGGGAAGAGTTCTTCGCTCGCAATGGACTTCAGGTTATCAATAACCCGCTCTCCCCTCCCACCTTTGTTTCCAGCCAGGGGCATAGCTGGATTGATGTTGCAGCATGCTCCCTTGGCTGCCTTTCAAATATCAGCGAGTGGAAGGTCTTGGACGACTCAATGGATGACCATGCTCTAATCAGCTTCAACATTGGCATTACCCAAACGGACAATCTTCGACATACACGGAGCAAATTTAACCTGAAGAGGGCCGATTGGGACGGCCTGCATTCTTTTCTTCATGCAAACTTGCACACCAACACATCCTCCGACCGTGAGGAGATACGTACCTACATTGATAACAGTATTAATATAATTGAAACAGCCTGCAACAATTTCATCCCAAGNGTTTAGTGTATATTTAAATGATTTAATTGAACAAATAACTAATTCTGACTATGAAGGTATCGAGGTGAATGGCATTAACATTAAAATATTGGCCTATGCAGATGATATAGTTTTAATTGCCGACTCAGTTAGAGGCTTACAAGGATTTATTAATATTTTGGATAAATATTTACTAGAAAATAATATGAGCTTGAATATTATGAAATCTAAAGTTGTTGTTTTCCGTAATGGTGGTAAACTTGCTAAATTGGATAAATGGTGGTTTAGGAATGATGTAATACAGATAGTTTCCCAATATAAATATCTGGGTGTTGTATTCAGATTTAATGGTAAATTTAAATATCATATTCAGACTGTTAAAAAGAATGCCTTTGTTAAAACTGATAAAGTTATTCAAATGTGTAGATCGGCGAAATTGCGAAATTTGAAAGATTGTCTAAGGATTTTCAATTCAATTGTTAAATCATCTATGTTATATGCATCTGAGGTTTGGGGATACCAATATGACGAATTGGATCCTGTTCTGGTTAATTTTATAAAAAAGTTGTTTGGTTTGTCTCGTTGTACCCCAAATTATTTGATTTTTATGGAATGTTCGTTATTACCTTTGTCTTTTACATTATTGAATAAATGTTTGAACTGGACTTTTAGGACTATTGCATTGGATGAAAAACGATGGAGCAGAATTTGTTTGTGTTATGTGCTTAATAAGGAGGACTTTCTGTGATCTAAAAGTCTAAGGGAAATTTGTGTTAATAATGGTATTAATTTTGATGAATTATTAAATAAGCATGATAGTTGTTCTATTTTGAAATTAAATTATTTTGATAATTTTATTCTGGATTTGAATCAACGAGTTAATGCAAGCTCTTATAATGATTGGTACAAGCACTTAAATAAATCTTTTTTTGACTGTTCGCTTTATAATAATAATTTTTCTTTTAATATTGGTGCCACAGTAATGCAAATCAGATGTAATTCCCTTAATTTTTTACAGAATTATCGCAGAGAAATTTGCATGTATTGTAAGGATGATCAGCTATTGGATGCTTTTCACGTGATTGCTAAATGCTCTAAGTTAGAAAAAATTCGGGAAAGTGTGTTTGGAACTTCTATTATTCCGTTGGAGAATTTTTTGGAACTTATTACTAATATAAGTAATTTCGATTTAATTAATTTTGTTCAAAAAATTAAATTATTTTTTAGGTAATCTTTGTTGATTTTTTATTTTGTTTTAGTGATCCCTTGTACGGAGTGACGTACATCGTTGTTTATTTTGCATATTGGAGTATTCGTTTTTGCCGAAAGGTGGCATTTGTTTTTTCCTTAAAAGTGTGCTTGTGGCTAAGAAGTGTTGGGAGACTATCCACATTTTGGATAAGATAATTGAATCCTTTTTCTTTTATAG